CAAAGTTCCAGTCCCACACTGGTTCTCATACATACACAAATGCATACACTTTGCTATTAACAATGCTACAAGTGCAGCTGTGCGCAACCACTACTTCTGTAGTAGTGCCCTTTTTCACTGCGCTACTACAGTACAGTACATCACATCTCACACCCAATCCAAACCACCTTGACCATTAGCACTAACAGCCTCCCATAGATCTGTGCAGTCAGATTGAGTGGACAGGCAAGAGTGGATGTATAGCCTGATGCTGTGCTTGTAGGGGCCTTAGCCTGTAACACCATCCTTGCTATGCCCAGCCTTGCCAGCTGATATAAATCAACAATACACACCAATATTACATGAAAAAAGGGGACACAAATGGACTGAGCAATGGCTAACACCGCTACCACTTAAGCCAAAGCCACAAAAGGATGATGATTATTTCCATTTTTAGCAATAGTGACTTAAAATCATCTGTCCATTCTGAAATTATCCCATCATCTCTACATTTTAGGCAAGTGAACAAACTACTTGTCTTTAATCATTGTCATCACTGCCCGTTCCTTTGATAAATGTATGTATTGTCATTCACCCATCCCCCTCCCCTTTGATCCTGTGAAAAATTATCCGAACAATCTGGAAACATCGTTTTCTCTAGAATATAATGAATTATCTATAATTACTCCCCATGTTACTCACTCATAATCTCCTAATCCCATTTGATTTAGTGTTTTTCTGTCAGTTATTATTTTTGAGCATTTTTACTCTTTGAGAAGTTAAGCTGTTTACCAAAGGCTTTGACAGTTTCTTCATTTCCAAGTCATTTCTTCAACATAAATGCCCCCTGTCACGCTATAAATAGTAGAAGATTATTCTGTTGAGGCTTGCTTTTTGTTGTCTCCGTAAATTGTCATCTCTAGCCAGGCCTCTCCGTTACACAGTCGTCGGCAAAGCAAAGTGGCTCCTGTCATATCCATGATGGTTTCGCTTAACATTGTTGTCCCTGAAATTAGCTTTACATCATCCAATGATAAGATGTGTTTTTGTTACTTTTATTTTATTTTATTTTATTTTTTTTGTTATCTATTTCATGAGTAAAAGTGACACTTTTACTTATATGTTAACTAATTGGGCAGCATGATGGTGTAGTGGTCACTGTTTCGTCACAGCAGGAAGGTCCTGGTTTCTGATCCAAGCTGGGGCCTCCCCACTCTTGCATAGGTTCTCTCTCAGTGCTCCAGCTTCCTCCTTTAGTCCAAAAGTATGTTGAGAGGTAACTGGTGGTTCTAAACTAGTTATAGGTGTCAAAGTTGGCCTGAAGGGCATAAGTGGAAAAAAGGTGGATAAATTTTGTTTTACGTCAACTTGCAAAACCCAGATGTTCAAAGATACTGTGTTAAGTTATCATACTATTTCTTACTTATCATACTATCTTGGAACATTTGGGTTTTGCAAGTTGACGTGAAACAAAATTTCATACCAGCAGGGCAGATGCTGATGCTTGGTCAAAACACTGGTGCAACGCTACTTCCTGTCTGTGGGTTGTTTGAGGTTTGAGAAAAATTTCAGACTGCCACACTGTGTGCATGAAAGGCAGGTAAAAACTCTTTTTTTTGTTTGCCTGCATATTTGTGATGTGTAGCCATGACAAGGATGCACACATATCTTCTCACTGCTTCTCTGATTTCTCAATCCTCTTTCATCTCCTCTTCTCATTCAACAGTTTCCCTTCCCTGAAAGCAAGATACCACAATTAGGTTGTGAAAATGCATGAATGTAATATAAATGACAGTTTCAGTATGTCTTGCCTTTTACGTTGTTGTTTTACAGTAATCATGTGATTTCTTCTCTGACTGGCTCCTGACAGCTTTTAAAGGCAAAGCAAAGTGAGACAATGGAAACATACCAATTATTTTTTCTAAATGCTGAGCTCAAACTCTGTTTTTGAGTTACAGAGATGGAGATAATGCACATAAACACAGGCGCACACATGCAGTGTTGTTTTTTGCCCACAGCTTTAGCGATACTGGAAGTGTGTTCTGGAGAAAGAGTGTTGATCATGAATTCTTTAACAGGTTTTGATGTCTACGGAGCTGCAAACACATGATTGTGTGCAACAGTTTGTGTGCTACTTTACTCATATTTGTAGTGTAATTCTACATGGCAGATAGCCCAGAGCAGCCAGACACACAATTAGGTCACATAACTTCAAGTCTCCTTTACCTTTTCTCATCCTATCTACTTTATTTGCTTGCTTATCTGTAGATGTAACACATTTGAATTAGCAATGCAAGCATAACAGTTGAGAAGTTATTGGTGTCATGGAGTAAATTACTTCTCATTCTTTTAACCACCTGTTGTACCTAGGTTTAAAATGAGCATGCATACTGAGGCAGTAAGGGAGAAGTCGGACAATAATGGCACATAACTAGAGCAAGATAAACTATGTTGTGTGTGAGTGCGCACACTCAGAACTAAAGCAGGCTTTAATTAATGGACCTTGATCATCAGCAGGCATTCACAAACGGCATCTAAACAAGGTTGCCCCACCCGTCAGTGAGTGTAATTGCATTTCAGCAATAGATTTGTGAGGTATACACTGTTATCTCGGGGTACTGCTGATGAAGATTCCCCCCCATTTTTTGTTTGTTATTTGTAAAGCTCTCAATTTATTTCTAAATGGAAACTATGGAGTCTTTTTTCACTGTTTCTTTTTTTTCCATTATGTTTCACGCTCTTTCCCTTCCCATTTAGTCTCCTTTCAACTTGCCACCTTCGATTCTGTCTATTTATATATAACATATAACTATAGATTATAGATTGTAAAGACCTGGAAATGTCAGAACTTTTTAGTGGAACCGTTTTAGCACAGTTGTCTTGCAGAAAAATATAAATGAATAAAGAAATCCTCCAATTATTTTTTATTTTGTCCAAACTGCCTTATGTGTGTGTGTTTTTTTTTTT